CATCTCTCAAAAAAAATCATTTCAAAATCATTAGTTTATGGGTATTTCGCCACTGCACTGCAAGAAAATCTACAAACTAAAATAGATATTTTTTGTAAACACTTCTGCGTTAAACCTAAACGGACGCTGCTTGTCAGAAGTTATGTTTACAGTAATACAAATTTGCCTAACACAGAAAAAAATGCTTAACGTTTCGGAAAGTTGTCTCTTTCCGTCGCCGTCGTCGGAAGCAAAAAAATACAAAGAATAAAGAAAAAAACTATTTAAAATATTTAAATTCAACTATTCGAGAACACTTTACTTTTTTAACACAGATACGTCTACAAGAAACCGTTGACTTTCTGTTAAAATGACATTTTATCAAGTTAAACTTCAAAATTAACAATTACTACCTGATAACAATTACTTAATAAGGTAAAACCAAAAAGCCCCAAACTTTCTGTATGATTATTTTTAAATTTTACGTATGTTATGTTTATTTATGTTATGTTCTTTAAAATCAAAGAAGCGATTGCCATACATTAATAACATCTACAGATGCATTAGCAATACATTTATTTTTATTAGATTGAATTAAAAAAGCCTCTTTTATTTTTCTTTTAGAGGCTATCGCTTCTTTCATTATAATTTTGGCGTTATTAAAATTTATTCTGTGCCCTGTGTCCCATGAATGCTGAAAAATCTTAGATTTGTAAAAATCCCCCTTTCTTAAATAATCTTTATATGTTCTTTAATTCTAACATTTAAGGGTCTAGATGTTTCACCAATGTAAAATTTATCGCATTTACAGGGTCTTTACTAAACCAATCAATACAGAACAACAAACAAAATTAATTAGTTATTAACATATTTGGAAAATGCATTTTTTACGAATAATTTGGTACCACACACTTGGTATTTCGAGTCAAATTGTCGTTATGAACCGCATGTTACAATTTCAAATAAACCATATGCAAGAATGTCAAAAGTTCACATATAATATGTGGAGTGTCATTTCAGCATGTCATTTTCTATTGAATAAAGTAAATAAATACCGAGGGTGACATTTAAAAATCAAAAGTTGTAGTCATTTCCGGTGAAACAGGAACTCACCAAAAATAATTGAATACGTCAATCTATCCTTTTTTATGTCATATGCTACATATGTCATACATTCTAAATCTCTTTTCTTATCTGTAAAAATAATAAAGTTATAGAGGTGAGCCACTTTTGAGACGCACTCGGTATACTTAGAGTAAAGGATAACTGCATAATATGATGTTTGCTTTCTTGAAAGTTTTAACTATGCTTTTCTTAGTTGTTTCAGAACGGAAAACTTAAATGCTGTCTAGTATGTGTAAGTTTTCTATGCAGTAGTGATAATAGATGGGTGGTGAAAATGATAGGTGGCCAAAAAATCTCTAGAATAGTGAAGAAATTCACCAGGGCAGAGGCAGGCGAAAAAGTTCTTAGTAGAACATTTGCCAAAATTCACTGACCTGATAAGAGATGACCCGAGACCTGATAAGTAAAAACCGAGGTAAAATAGGACAAAAGCTTTAGTGTCTAAAGCTAGTCTGCTAACAGAACATTGTAAGCTGAATCGGCATCTAAATCTAATGGGAATTGAACATTGAAGAATCGGCAGCTGGGAGTAACGGGCTAAGCCATGTGCAAGTTCTGTCATTCTGAAGAACATATTTTATGTCGGTGCGACTGCCTGGCAAATATGCGGTTCTCTGTAATAGGCAATGATAATCTATTGACAGTTGAATGTCTCCAGGTTGCTAGACTTTTTGGAAATGATAAGGATGTAACTTAAGGATCAGAAGAGGACCACAGTAGATCTAAAAAGGTCGATAGCCACCCCGAAGAATCTACTCTAACCTAACCCCAATAAAGAAGATTGAACAATGTTAATGTTCGCCATATCAGAAGCAGTCTTCAAACTGTAACTACTGGAATTCTAATAGTGGACGCCTGTCGTCGATCAGAGAATACCGAATATGGTAATGGTTGGAGTCTGACATATTATAGTCAAGTTACCGAAGACCAAATGTCACTAATAGTCGCTAAATTAAGTTGACTTGCGGATTTGACGTGGTTTGTTCCCAAGGGAGAATTTACAAAGGTTCTAGGTCTGCGGTTCTATTGAATTGTTGTCCCTACATCTATCAGGTTAACTCATGTGTAAATACAGGGTGGCCCATCGAAAACGTTCCGCAAGGCATAACGACCCAAGGACTATACACACAGAGGATAGCCGAGTTCCCACGAAATTTTTGCCGAAGCGTTCCAAAGCGTTGACGTCACCATCAGTGCGCTTTCAAACGCCGCCCATTTGAAATGTAGGGCAATATGAAAGATTTTTTAATCTAAGCAAATACATGGCCTTTTTTAAATTCTAACGGTGCAAGGCATTAGAATAGGGCACTAATACCTCCTTTAAACTATAAACCAAAAGTGTTTGGATGTTTAAAATTAATGGTTAATAATACATAAAAGTCTGCTTAATAGTAGAGTGTAGCTGTAATGATAAGAGATTCCAATTTAGCTATAATTATTTATATTGATTTGATCTTAATATTACATATTTTTGTAAAAAATTAGATCTGTATCTGAGAATTTTGGTGTGCTAAGTAGTTTATAAAAATAAATAATAGGTACATACATTATAAATGTCATGTACATTATATACATAATAATAATATAATTATTATTTATCTTTTCCTGAGTCCTGACTGTCATTCACTGAATAACAAATTCCCTTTTATTAGTGGGTTTTGGGTAATGATTAAAACGTGCAAACATTTTTTATTTATATATCACAAGAAATCCTAATACATAAGTTTTATTAATTAACTATTTTTTTTTAATTATCAATTTTATTTTTAGAATTTGTTTTTCATAGAAGTAAATTTGTTATCTACCTAACAGTTCATTTTGTAGGTTTCTTTCATAACCATTTGGTGTAAAATGTATGAGCAAATTGTAGAAGTATTCGGGTTAAGTTTGTCTTCTTGTTTACATCGATTTATCCATTGCTTTCTAATTGTGGACGAAACTAAACTAAAACTTTCCTTTGCCTAAGGACATGAATGAAATATCAAGCTAACACTTTCTTTCTTGAGTGTTAACCTATTGCTTTTGCATAAAGCAACAGCACAAATCTGACCAGGCATAATAAATTGTAATCTAAAACCACAAATTAATACATATTACAGAACATATTTCTCCTGCGTTTTATTGTGAAACCTACCAATAAGTTTTAAAACTAATTAAAAAACGATGTACAATGTTCAAATGTCTAGAGATGGTCTAGAGAGAGTCGGATAATAGACGATAAACACAGACAAAATATAGTTTAAGAAACAGAAATATTGTTTGTATAAGGTCTTTCGAAGGTTATTATCACATCCAAAACGTTAAAACCATGTTAAAACGCTATAAAAATAAATCATTGTCACTAAACACTGAAGACTGAAGAGAAAAGTCATAAAATTACATGTAAACACGCTAAACGCTGCCGATTCTGCACTGATGACTACGTCACGACCGTTCGACCTTGAGTCCTCGACATGCCAACGTTGTTGTTACGGGAGTAATCTATCCTCTGTGTGTATAGTCCTTGATAACGATCAGGGTAATTTTTTTTTCAGAAAATCCAAAAACACGTCAATTTTGTTTGTGAGGGGGACAACTTTTGCCCCAAAAATGATTGCAAAATCTTCAACCCTCTAAGCGGGGGTGTCATCCCCCAACTTTTTTCAAATGGGAAGGGGGGTCAAGTGGCACCGCAATGAAAAGAGCTTTCTATTCTCTATATTTCCCCGCTTCGGGATTGAAAATCGGTCGAGTAGTTGAGAAAATATGAAGGATTGAAATTTGAAAAGTTTATTTAAACATTTATCAGAGTAAATGATAAGGATAAATTCCTTCGACCAATTTGCTGTTTTTCCTTATTATTTCTAGATGTTTACGCATTTTTTCACTTGCCACAAGGTTGAACGATCAGGTGCGGTAGTTGCTAGATAGCTGTTCTGTGACTTGTGAGTTGATGCTCTTCTCAATATCGTTAAACTTTTTAACAATTATGGTGTACTCACTTGCAGAAAAAGTGGATATAATCGAACTTTATTTTGAAAAATAGTGAATGTGGCAATCGGTTTGCGCAGATATTCAATGAACGTCATCCTGACAAACACCTTTATGGCAAAATTGTTCGCGATTTAGTAGCAAAATTTCACGAAACTGGTTATGAATAAAAAGAGGCAGAATACCGTTATGAATAAAAAGAGGCAGAGGGAAAATCCTGTAGTAAATGAAGCTATGGAGGTATTCGTACACTGAGTGCAAGAAAATTAGCCAATGAGACCGCGACCGGCGTGAACCGTACAGGTGTCCAAACGATATTAAAAAAACACAAGTTCCACCCGCACAAAATTCAGTTGGTACAAGAACTCAACGAAGACGATTTTGATCGTCGCGGGCTGGTATTTTTGGAAATTCTATTGTAGGTCAGTTTAACGATATTGAGACCGCACCTGATCGTTCAACCTTGTGCCAAGTGAAAAAATGCGTAAACATCTAGAAATAATAAGAAAAAACAGCAAATTGGTCGAAGGAATAATTTATCCTTATCATTTACTCTGATAAATGTTTAAATAAACTTTACAAATTTCAATCCTTCATATTTTCTCAATGACTCGACCGATTTTCAAAAACGAAGCGGGGAAATATAGAGAATAGAAAGCTTTTTTCATTGCGGCGCCACTTGACCCCCCTTCCCATTTGAAAAAAGTTGGGGGATGTCACCCCCGCTTAGAGGGTTGAAGATTTTGCAATCATTTTTGGGGCAAAAGTTGTCCCCCTCACAAACAAAATTGATGTGTTTTGGGATTTTTGAAAAAAAAAATATCCTGGCCGTTATGTCTTGCGGAACGTTTTCGATGGGCCACCCTGTATATAAATCTAGTTAAAATTATAAACTATTACAACTAGAAGCCTAAATCAAAACTTACAGCCCACTTGGTTTCCACGAGTCCTGCTCTTTCCAGACCATCGGATAATCCCCCACAACCTGCATAAATATCCAGTGACTTTAGTTTTGTTTGAAGTTCAGGCCATAGTAACGGCGTTTCGCTGTTGTAACCGCAAGAAGTCTTCCTCGTTTTCAAACCTAAAATATTTAAGAAATTAACAATTAAAAAATTAAACGATTACCTACATTACAGACAAAATACATTTATGGTTAGCTTGAGTTCATGAGGTATTTTGCATTATGAATATGGAGAACAGTAGAAAAAGAAACCAATGTACAAAAAAGTCTTAAAAATGCAAAAACAGAAATGTTGTTCATAATACAATTTTTCTTCTATCTATATGCCATTCTTGCCAATATACAGAGACTCTTTCTCAAAATATAAGATTTCCAGTCATTAAAAGAAAAATAAATAGCAATTATGGACATTTTTCTTTAAGAACGACATAAGGTAGAGAAAATCCAATGAAAATATTTCTTATGAAAGCCACTTTTGAGACACATCCGGTATTATACTGGGTGTGTCTCAAAAGTGGCTCGCGCCGAACTCTTTATTTTTTCAATTAAAAAAAACGAGATTTGGCATGTTAGTATATGACGTAAATTAGGATTGATTGACGTATTCAAATGTTTACTTCCTGTTTCACTGGAAAATACTACAACTTTTGATTTTTAAATGGCACCCTCGGTATTTTATTACTCTATTCGGTAGAAAATGACACTCGGAATATAATAACATCACATGTCAACTAAAAAATCGTATTTTAAATTTCAATCTAGAGTGGCACGGCTGTGTTAAAAACACTGATTTTTAGTAGAAGCCCTCAAAAAATTGATTTGATCCTCTAATGGTATTCGTATCTTGTCCTGGCCTGTTAATAAATGCCCAAATCGTATTTTTAAACATATCTCAATTTTTTTCAAATGGAACGAGGGTGGTTCATTAACATATTAAAAAAAACATCTTTTTGAGAATAATTTGGAACCGTTATAAAATAAATTGCAGTTATATTTATGACACGCTAAATTGAAATTTAAAATGCTATTTCTGGTAAATGAATAATAAAAAAATCATATTTCATTTTGAATTTTGTTAAATACACTGCAGATAAAACGGTTTATATAAGAATTTTATTTTAAATAATAAAGTAGATATGTTATAAAAATGCAAATCATTTTACCAATAGTTCTTGCAGATGTAGGTAACGGTTTGATTTTACACGTATTTGGATCATAGAATTCTCGAAAATAGAATCTGGAAGGTCCCTCTCTTGTCCATTGATATGTATCCTCTATATGTTCTGTGTTAGAAATGTAGCATTTTCCTTTGACTACTGACTTCCATTTATCAAAATTTCCTGAGAAGGAGTAAGTAATTAAACATCAAGTTGGACGTTGTTGAATTAAAATTGTAGGATTGAATTGAAATCAACAAAAATTCAGTAAGTTTAAAAATAATAAATTATCATTTAAATAAAATTAGGAAATAATGCTCCTATTTAAGGGATCAGATCGATAGGTTTCGTCTCGCTTGGTTAGTTTTTGTCACGCCTACTCGGTGCCAACTGAGCGCCTATATAAACGCTCCATCTGTGAATATTATTAGTTTCGTTTGAATTATACTCTGATTTTTTTCTCAGGTGACATTTCGACAGACGATGACAGAAAAAAAAGCAGATAGAGATATACTACCAATGAGATAAGCATACCAATCCATTTATTTCATTAAAAAAAGATTCTAATATTTTTTTAAGTTAACTATGGGTGGGTTTATAAATAAATCCGTCATGCATCGTCTATTGTTGTTTTTAACCAGTTTTATTGGTTTATTTCAAAAATGACAGATCATATTTCAATATTATTGGTTTGACGGAACGATGAACCACAAACAAGGACGCCAATGCGTATGAACTCGACTTAAGATTTTTGAGAGTTGTCAAACTCTTGCCAAATTACAGGTTATAATTTTGTGTCAAATTATGTCAAATAAAAATAATAAATATTTTGCATTTTGGACTGTGTTGTTACTTGCGTTTCGTGTTTTTAAAAATTAAGTGGAGGAAAACTCAAGGGAAAATTAAGTTTTGACCCAAACCATATAGTTTACAGTTAATATTCGGTGCCCAGAGACAGAATTTTCCAGAAACTAGGGCCAGAGAGTTGTATTAGTTACAAATAAAATTTGTATACCATCCCGTATATGGTACCAAAAACTGGAGTATCTGTAAAATAACATCACACGACAGGTAAATAATACATTTTAGTACTGCAGAGAGATAATGTCAAAAGATACTCTTTTAAAAAAATTAAGATTAAAGTTAATTAACCAACTTTTAAGGTATAAAATTCAGTAAGTGTTATTATTAATAAAACATTTTGTTTTACTTATGTTGTGTTTTATTTATTTCATTGCAATATTATTTTTTTATTTGTACATAATGTTATATTGATAAATGTAATAATAAATGCAGGAAGTTGGTTGAGCTTGAAAGTAAGAGATCTTTTTTATATTTTTTTTGGTATGTCGTATTTTATTTAAAATACACCCTGCTTGTTTTGTATTAACACATACCGTATTTTTTCTTAATAAAATAACCCGATTAGATCTTTTCAGTTTTATACAGTTTTTTTCACAATATTTTGAATTAATCACTTGTCACTCAAATTTTAAATATATTAATTATGCATTCCAATTGTACCAAATTAGTTCTTTGAAAATAAAATAAACTACTTTGAAATTAAAATGACAGACACATCTATCACTCTCAAGGATCTTATCGTTGGATAGACTATATTCTGCTGATGATTCTAAAATGTTTAACGAAACGCGCGTCCAGTGCAAAAGTAAAAGTGTTTTGGTGTATTGTGGTGAATTAGTATTTTATTCTGCTTCTAAATTATTTTTTATGCTTCGATTTGCTGAGCTAATACGTCGATGCAATATGTTGTGCGGCGGAATGTCGGTTTTTGGGCGAACTTTTAAAGGAAATATCACAAATACAATGGACAAATTTCGAAACGAATTAACTCATTGCATCGACAAACCGGCTGTATTTATTTATTATAGGAAAATATGCGGTCAATTTTTATTTTATTGTTTGGAAGTATAATGAAGTGGAAAAAAATACCAATTTAAGTTCTGTAATCTTCCAGAAGCGTCTAGGGTGCCTAGTACGTTCGAAAAAAAATGAAGCGTGAATTAGAATTAAACTTACTTATAGTGTAAATACGATTTGTCCAGTACACCAAAAACGGGTCTCCATACTCTCCACCCTTCGTATCTTCCGGCCTGTAGAATTCCCTGACTCTCACCGTAATTTTGTCATTGTTTTTCGTTATTTTCTCGATTACTCCCACGGTGTAAGGTTCGCAGGCGACGTAAACAGGATCGTGTTTTTTCTCGAATTTCCGGTATCGCTCGGGGAATATCGTGTCGCGATCAATTTTCGACATACGTACGCAATCTCCATTTAAGTATTCGATGGTGTAAAATGGTTCTTCCTGTAGAGTAAATTATTCGTTTTTAAATTTAGATAAAATATTATTATATGGGACTCAAGGTTGATGGTAGATTATTTTTCCAAATAACAAAAGCAAAAAAGCGTCAAAGTCAATTTAAACTCTACTAAAAATCATTTATGAAACATATTGCTACGTACTAAAACAGATATATAGTCAGTGGCGTTAGACTAAAATATTTCAGTGCCGGACACCAGCACCAAGTTTGGCACACGCTTTCTAGAGACAATAAAGCTTCAAAAATTGCCGGGAGACAATCTCTCGCATCTCCGGATCATCCTTTGATGACGTCATCAAAATTGCGGACCAAATTTTTAGCATGAAATTGGATTATCACTTGTAACTTTGTTAATATTTAACCGATTTTAAGTTTTAATAGCTCATTTCAAAGTTTGAATAATTTGCTAAAAAAAAACTATTCAAGTTTTTTTCGTAGTAGGGGGGACATAATAGATCTTTAAGGTCGCAGTGATTAATCCCCCCTCCTCTCCCACTCATTCTAAATTCTACGAATACATTCGCCTTGTTTCCATTCTCAAACGATTTGTTATTATTCTGGTCTTCAGTGTTTTTAAGATACTCTGTGGAATTACAATCATTTTGTATCGTCAAATTGAAAGCTGGCATTTTTCAAATAGTTATTTTTATTTACTTTGATATATAAATTACATCTTTGGAGTTAATAAGAGCAATGAATCGAACATTTTAGATAGTGTTAGGTAGGAGATTATGATCCAGAATTCCTGCAGCAAATGAGCTGTTCTAGTTGAGGCCCTCAAGAGGTTATAAAAGAACATTGTGAGGATACTTGTCATTAAAATAATTATAAAATGCTAATACTTCTGTTATTCAGTATTGTTGGTAAAAAATAATAAATTCAAAAAATACTGGCGTTGGTAAAAGTCATCAAAATACTTATTTTTTGTAAAAATGGAGATATGAGATATCATAGTGAAAAAAAATTCAAGAAAAATCAGGATGCAGTTTGACGTCGCAAAATGTTTTCAATTGTCAGTTGGTTACTCCAGAAAGTACCTCAAAACACTGGAAATGTCTAGCTTTTCTTCCATCCCTCTATATAATATAAAAAGAATCGTTTAGGAATGGCAATAAGTTAAATATATTTTTGTGAAGAATTCATTTCATTTCTCTATTTATTAAGTACGGTCGAAAAATTTAAAGCAAATTATTTTTTTGTATAATGCACTATGTGAGACTATTCATTGGGGTAAAACATTAACAATAACTTTACCTTGGTCTCTTTGTTGGTAGTCTCCACCATTTCCCTCTCGTAATCTATAAAAATTCCTGACCCGACGTAATATTGTTCATTTTTCCATTCGATATACGACCGACCCAAAAACCTCTCCCTATACACCGGCGTGTTCTCGTTGTTCTCCTCCGTTTGCCAGAAGCAGGAGATGCATTCGGAGCCGTTGTCGATAAAATCGACGAATCGGCTCTGGTTATAGTCGTAACGTTTCGAGAAGTAGTAGTTCTTGCCGTCGTCGGTGTCGTTCAGATCCGGTCGCTCGTCTCCGCCGCTGGTGCGCCATCCGCTTTTGTGCTCTTTCCTATAAACCTAGAATTTTAAAAGCGGTTTGTGTTTTATCCATAAAACGAAAATATAGAAAAATGTTAAATAAAGTTTACGGGAATTCATTGTTATGCATCAGACTTTCGAAAATCAGAGTATGAAAATTTGTTCCCCAGCTAATTCTAAAATTCCTAAGAATTTTTTATTTTCTTAAGGGAACATAATATTTAGCAAAAAAAATAAAAATGGCAAATTATACTATGTACAGGGTGTCCCACTAAGAATAGCTCTCGGCTGTATCTCGGAAAGTATTAGCCGTAGCGGTTGCGGAAAAAAATATGTATAACTAAAGAGGCTATGGGAAATTGCTGGAAATTATTTTCAAGTTTGTAGAACGACCGTTAGGGGGCACAACTACAACAAAAATAAGAAAATGGAGTTTATACACAATTTTGCCTAAATAAGGTGTACCATAAGTAACAGCTTCATAATCTTCAGTAAATTTTGAATATTTTTTGTTAGAGCCATTTTCCCCTATCCACCAAAATAAAGTGGTGGGGGAAGGTTAGATCTGTTTTTATTTAAACATTAATAACTCTGGACTGGATTATCACAATCCAACAAGCGAGGGTTCGTTTAAAAGAGCGTTTCTTACTCTATATTGTACCATATAAACAATAATAATAAGCTTTTGAACGTAGACGCTAGGGGGCGTTGTCTTACAATTTAACAAACATTGCGCGTTTTTTCAAAAAAATAAAATGCAATAGTATATGTAATTTTAGCTGATAGTAAAGAGTAGTAAAAGCTTAAAAAGTCAGCGAAAACCGCATCTTGATATCTTCTTTCAAACCGAAGATATTAGCAAAATTATAATAAATACCAAAAAATAAGCCCTTAATTACCTTATTTTTACAATACAGTATCAGTAGCCCTCTTGATTAGGCCCATTCTAACAAAAAAATAAGATAGAAACAGTTAATTTATTTTAAAATCGACGAAATACCAGAATAGCATAATACCAGATGTATTAATATCTAATAATTAAGATATTAATAATAGTGAACAAGAAACGATGATTCAGTGAAGTCATGGTAGGCTTTGGAAAAAAGTTGCTTTTGACGTAATAGTATAAACATCAAACTGTTATTAGATCAACATTTTGAAAGTCTTAGCAGCGTTTTTTATCTTTTGATTGCTTTTTCAAAATGCCAACAACTTCAACTACTTCAAATAATAAAGGCATTTTGAAAAAGCATTTAAAAGATAGAATTTTAAAAGTCTACCATGACTTCACTGAATCATCGTTTCTTGTTCACTATTATTAATATCTTAATTATTAGATATTAATACATCTGGTATTATGCTATTCTGGTATTTCGTCGATTTTAAAATAAATTAACTGTTTCTATCTTATTTTTTTGTTAGAATGGGCCTAATCAAGAGGGCTACTGATACTGTATTGTAAAAATAAGGTAATTAAGGGCTTATTTTTTGGTATTTATTATAATTTTGCTAATATCTTCGGTTTGAAAGAAGATATCGAGATGCGGTTTTCGCTGACTTTTTAAGCTTTTACTACTCTTTACTATCAGCTAAAATTACATATACTATTGCAATTAATTTTTTTGAAAAAACGCGCAATGTTTGTTAAATTGTAAGACAACGCCCCCTAGCGTCTACGTTCAAAAGCTTATTATTATTGTTTATATGGTAAAATATAGAGTAAGAAACGCTCTTTTAAACGAACCCTCGTTTGCTGGATTCTGATCATCCAGTCCGGAGTTATTAACATTTAAATAAAGATAGAGATAACCTTCCCCCACCACTTTAGTTTAGCAGATAGGGGAAAATGGTTCTAACAAAAAAAATCCAAAATTTACTTAAGATTATGAAGCTATTATTTATAGTACCCATTATCCAGGCAAAATTCTGTAAAAAATCTATTTTCTTATTTTCCATAGCAGTTGCGCCATCTAGCGGCCGTTTTACAAACTTGAAAATAATTTCCAGCAATTTCTCATAGCCCCTTTAGTTACAAATATTTTTTTCCGTAAGCCCTACGGCTAATACTTTCCGAGATACAGCCGAGAGCTATTCTTAGTGGGACACCCGGTACACATTTTCCCCACAGAATCTGCATTCGCCATTGTTTCAATCTACTGAACCTTCGTTGAGGAGACAGTGTCCTGTTAGACACCCCGTGACAATCCGAAGATTGTTCTTACTTAAATTGTCGATTGAAGAAATAAGAAGATGCGCAACCTTATGGTGCGTTTAGACTTGAGCACGCACGTACTGATCCTTCGCGAATGCTCAAGTGTAACCGGCTGTGCACGCACGCTCACTCTGAATCTGTCTGTGCGCGAGCAGCCGCGAACGCGAGCCGTCTGGTGTCGGTTTTGGTCCGTGCTCAAAGGGTTTTTATGTGTGCGCGAACGCTCAGGTTGCACAGGCAATTTGTTTTGTCTGCGTGTGTGATTTTTTTCGCTTTCTTCAATAAAATTATGGAGTGGACCAACGAATCTTCATTATTGTTAATACAAGAATATGAAAACTTAAAAAAAAATAAGATGTAAAATATTCTGCCTATATTATTCAAAAACAAAAAAAAAGTGACACATGGCAAGACCTTGCAAATAAAATTAATATTGAACATATCCATATTAATGACGCACAAAAAAAAATGAAAAGCCGTTTTCTCCATGTATCTAATAATATTTCCACAGTCTCTCCCCTACAAATGTCCCCAGTTTTCAGTAATGAATACCGCTACATCTAACACCAGCTCCTATCACGACCTTAGTTCTCCAAGTACGTCTGATATGAATATTTCAGAATATAGATCTACTAATACCCCATCATCTGCTTCTACCTTCACTGAATCCGATATAAACCCCAGAAATTTACCTACAGTCGCTACTACTTAATTAAATTAAGTAAATATTGAAAGTCGGGTCTGGTCATTCTCGTAAAGTTTTTGAACTGATCATAGCGCTCCTAAGACACTAAGTTGTTGAATAAGTTATATCGATTTCTAAAAATTTGGGTTTACCACCAACGACAATGTTTTCGATTTTTCTTTTCTGGTTGCTATCTCTTGGTTGTCCATTGTTTTCACTAACACAACTCTGCTGTGTGCACAGAAGTGGATCACTTCATTCGTTGAAAATAAGTTTTTAATTTAAACGGAGCCGAGAGTGCGAACGAATGCCGTGGGCGGACGCTCAGCTCGTGTGTTCTCAAGTCTAAACGCACCTTTATGGGCGATTTCGTGGCACAAAACATGTCCGAGATGTAGCTGGCGTTACCGTTACATGTCCGAGATATAGTTTAGCTCTGCGCTGCTGCGCGCTGAGTCGTTTACAGCGCAGCGGATAAAGAATAATGTATCGTAGTTCTGTTTTCAGTTGACAGAGTAGGTGGTTGCCGGAGACAGTGTTGCTAGAACTACGGATTAACCCGTAGATTTACGGATTTTGGATACAGTACGTTAATAATATGGATTTTCTATCATTAAACAACTTAATATATTATATGATTAAACAAAGAACGGCTTCAGAGTTGGCTTGGAAATGAAGATCGCTGTTATTTCATATATAAAATATTATGGAAAATGTCAATAATCGTCATTTTCAACCCATCTAAACAAGTTTTTTCGACCATACGAAATATTCAGTACCTATAAAAGAATATTAATTTTTGTTGTTTATTCTATATTTAACATGAATAAATTTTTAATACATAAACGCGGATTTTTCATATAAAATACAAAGATATTTTCTTCAAACGTATTACAGATATTACACATTTTAATATGGCAACACTGTCGCTTTCAGTTCTACACCTACTACGATATGTCTCCGCTAGCCGAATTAGAGAAAATGAGTGCTGGCTGCGGAACGACTAGAGGCTCCACCGTACAGCACTTGAGACGTAAGGGGAAATCAAATCAGCCTTGTCACGAATTCGCCCATTGAGTTGCATATCTTCCCAATTCTTTAAATTAACGGAACATCTTTGGAAACTCGCCGTGCTTTCTTTGGAATCGAGGAAAATCTTTGACCAACCAAAATCTTTCACCAAACCACAACACTAATTATTGTGATATCTTCATGAATCATAAGAATATTTACGTGGCAAAAAAATTGTGATCCGGCTCAGCATATGCCGAGGCATATGCATTAACAGGATCGAGATTATCTGAAAATAATGTTTAAAATACATAATAATAATAAACATAATTTAAAAATACATAAAAATAAATAATAATAATTATAAATACAAACAATAATTGTATTGGATTCTCAAGTGCATCAAAACGTAATAATATACTACCCTTACCCAAGCAGCATTTGGACGTCGGGAAAACGTTGTGTCACGCGACCAAACGTCGGGGCGCAACGTCGGCACAACCTCGTGCCAACCCTAGTCTGCACTAGTTTGGAGAATAATTTTTGGGTCGAAACGACGTTGGATACCGACGTTGGCTAGAAGCCTAATTTAGTACAAACTGCAACGTTGTTTAAAATCCTAATTCACAGAAATACAGAACTAATATGGCGTCTAAGTGCGTTTTATCCTAAATTGGGATAATTATAGTAAAAATATTATTTTTATGATTTAATTAGAGACATATGTCAGATGGCAGTGAAGGAAAACAAAACAAAAGTATTTAAGTGTGGAGGATGTTTGAAGATCATAATTATTGAAACACTTTAACCGACTCTGTAACTCGTTACCCAAGGCTAAAAAGTTAAACGCAAACAACTTTATTGATAAATGTATTGTTTCTACTTTGGAAAATACTAATGGGCCTTAAAATTAAAGAAGTTTTAAAAATTTTCTTGATTTTTTTTTTAAAGTAAAATGAGAATAATTTATTCGCAGTCGAAAAAATTGTTTCCGCGTGTTTTTTAGGGTCAAATATTTCAAGTTAATGTATTCAAAAAGCAGGAATTGCTATTTTAGGAACGAAATATTTTCTTATTTAACAACATGGCGGCTTTCACTTTGTTATTTTGGAGATTAAGATGGAGTAGTTCGAGTAGTCGCATACTGGACTAATAAAGTCGCAGTTCGGCCTTAACAGGTAGTATACTAGTCGCAAGATTGCCTAATTTAGTCATCCTAGAGTCTAGCTTGTGCCGCCCTCTATAATCTAAATAAACGAGGAAGTGGATAAACTATCGGTAATATATGTCGATGTATATTTAAATTTAGTTTTATATGTACCTTCTTATGTCCCATTTTAATTAAGTTTTTTTTTATAAATACAAAAACAGCACTGAACTGTCTGACTGAACAGAACAATGAAGTGAAAATTTAAAATTTAAGGTTATGGTTCAATACAGTTGCAAAAAGGTAGTGACTCGACGTCCTACCAACGTAAGAATAAGGAAATCTAAACAACGTTGGAATTAGTAAAACAGACGACGTTTGCATAACGTTGGAATAGGTCCTGAAACTGACGTCGGAAAACTCTATATTGTCCAACGTTGTAACTACGTTGTCCGAATCACCTAAAGATCACTTAAGCAAAAAAGGTTACAAGACAACGTTTATTCGACGTCGCAAAAGCTTCCTACTTTGCTGTAGTACTAGTCCAACGTCGGCACAACGTTATAAAAACGTTTAAATTTATTTTAATACCCAAGGTAGGGAGCTAACTATTTTTTGTAACTAATCCAACGTTGTGATTAGTAAACATGTGGTCGCAAGTCGTGAAAATGCTACTTGGGTACTTTCTGAAAACGCCTGGTATAATTTTTCTATCAAATCTCACCTTAGCTTTTCCGATAATGCACGACAAAGGCATATCTTCGCAATGATCCACTAAAAACAGTTCCCTGGGATCGGACTTGTCGCCCATTATGGTGTCCGTGCCCCGGCAATAAAAGTGAGCGTGACACATTTTCTCGTGATTTTCCTCGTCTTCGAACATATAGGCGACGTGGGCTATTTGGGGAGGTTCGTTTTTCTCCTCGGGAGGTATAAGAATGTTGTCGCCCTGATTGATAAATAGCTCACCTAAAAAATGACTACTGTCTATAACAGGTATTTGTTAACTGAATTTTGTAATATTATTTAAGATTAAATTCTGATTAATTTTGTTAATAATCCACACTACAGAAATCTCGTAACCCAGAAAAGATACAATGATGATTAACTTGGAAAAATACTGCGTCTCATTCAACCCTTTTGAATAAAAAGATTAAGGAGAGAGCGTTGAAAAAAAAATAGGTGGGGCGTGATGGGCAATTAAAATGACTGACTTAAATTTCGGTTTATCAGTCCCATTGTAAATTTAGATTAATTCAATAGATCTTTGTAGAGTTCATTCTTATACAAGCAGGGCCGGCGGAAGGAAAATATTGAGACCGGGCGAGTACTCTATCTGGGGCGCCCCCCCCCCCCCAATCCCTAATAGTTATTATAACTCTCTCTTTCCTTCAATACTATACTTTAACTACAACTAAACAGATTGATACTACTATAACAATAAAGTTTCACTTAAAGATACTTCAAAATTCTTCTTTTAGTTCGATCTTAGGCTGATGCTGTTTTTGTTTTTTCTCTACTGGTGCGTCTCGAAAGTGAGTCACCCCTATAACTTTTTTATTTTTTAGATAAAAAAAACGAGATTTGGTATGTTAGTATATGACATAAATTAGGCTTGACTGACATATTCAATTGTTTTTGGTCACTTACTGTTTCACCGGAAACGACGAAACTTTCGATTTTTAAATGGCACCCTCAGTATATTTCTACGTTATTCTATAGAAAATGGCATTCTAAAAATGGCATATCATATGTCAACTTTTGACATTTCCGCTTAAAAAATCGTATTTTAAATTTCAATCTGGAGTGCCATGGCTGTGTTAAAAACACTAATTTATTAATTTAAACAAGGAGCTTTGGATAAATAGATTTGATCGTCTAATGTTTTTCGTGTCTTGTCCTGGTCAGTTAAAAGATGCTCAAATCCTATTTTTAATCATATCCCAATTTGTTCAAATGGAACAAGCATTTTTTGCGAATAATTTGATTCCACACACTTGGTATTTCGAATCCAATTATTGCAAATTGTTCGTCGTTATAAATCGCATGATACAATTTCAAATAAACTATAATGCGAAAATGTAAAAAGTTGACATTTGATCTGTCATTCTATTTAGAGTGTCATTTTCTATCGGATAAAGTAGAAATATACGTAAAGTTGTAGTAATTTCCGGTGAAACGGGAAGTGACTAAAAACAATTGAATACGTCAATTTATTCTAATTTAGGTCGTATACTAACAAACCAAATCTCGTTTTTTCATCTGAAAAAATAAACAAGTTATAAGGGTGAACCACTTTTGAGACGCACCCGGTATATAGAGCTATAATAGAATTCCAACTTCGGCAGTCTCGTTCTGGTATAAGTGATCTTTGAAAACATTAATATTTAGTTGCAAGCAGTTGCATTATTTTTCTATAAGAGTTTAAGAAAATTTTCATTTCTTTTTCACAATTTTTTGATCAATTCATTTCGCGTTTCGCATAATCAGTATTGATCAGACAGTTTTGTCGGCTTCAAAATAAGGATCAGCCAGTTTTTGAGATGCATTTCTGTGTGAAAAATATTTCTTTGTGTGATTTTTGTAAAGAGAAAATTCTACGATTCTACTACCATCTTCCGTGTATTACTACATATTCAATTGGGAACAATCAAAACCACCAAAAGATTGATATCTTTCCTCACTACTGTTAATAAATTAATTTAATTAATGAGGCAAACTTATATAAGCTTTTTTTTTGATAATAAGGATATCGGGATCCTCTTCAGCTTTTTACGAATGAATATTTGCCTGATATAGTTTTAGGGCATATCAGCCATTAATAACAAATAAAGGGTGTGGGTTAGTGGAAAAACTGCGATTTTGAGCGGTCAGTCTAAAATTGTCAATTTTGCTGGCCCTTGACCCAAAACAGTTTGTTTAGAAATTTATAAAAACGAGAATTATAGAAAGAAGGGTTATTTAAAAAAACTGGTTAGCTTTTGTGTTTAGAATTTTAGAATTTAGAATTAGTGGGAGGGGGGTTAATCACTGCGACCTTACAGATCTATTGTATCCCTCTTTCTTCAGTTATAACTCATCATACAGTCCCAGGGCTCTGACAAAAGCCAGTATCTGGGACGGTTTTATAGAGGGTAGTATACCAAAATTCATGGCACGAATGGTTGTCGTCTCGGCGCACTCAGTGATGAGGTGTACTGGTGTTTCCCCATCTTCCCCACAGAATCTGCGTTCGCCGTTTCTTCTTAGTTTCAATCTACTGAGGTGTTCATTGAGGAGACAGTGTCCTGTTAAAACTCCGTGACAATCCGAAGATTGTTCTTACTTAAACCCAGGGAGATCTGTGATTTTTCTTGATCATAAGCCCTTAGAAACTTCTTCGAGTGTCTTAGACCGTTGCAAGATTCCCATTCCAGGTTGCGGATGGAATCTTCCAAGTTCTTTAGTTCCGCCTTGAGTTGGTTACCACTTGGAAAGCAGAACGGTTCTGGTCCAGTTAGTGGAGTGTTCGCTCCATTTCTAGCTAGATTATTTGCTTTTTCATTGCCTTCTATCCCTTGGTGAGCAGGCACCCAGAGTAGGAGGACTTTGTTTTCTTTGCCTAATATATTCAGCTTTTCTATGCATTCTTTGACCAATTTCGAATTGATTGATACTGAGTTGATCGTTTTTAACGCTGCTTGACTATCAGACAAGATGCCTATTTCTTGTTTCCGATAGTTCCTATCTAAGATAAGTTGTACGCATCTTTCGATAGCGTAGATTTCTGCCTGTAGGATACTAGGGTAAGTGCCCATTGGTTCGGAGTATTTAACTCTCGACCCAAATACTCCGATCCCTGTTCCCGTATTGGTTTTAGAAGCATTACTATACCAAGTTATGGTATGGTCTTTTAACTGCTGGGCAAGCGTTTCGCTCTTCCAATCCTTTTTATTGCTCAATACTACATTGAGATGTTTCTCAAAGTTGTACGTTCTTGGCATATCGTCCACTGGGAGTTGCAGGAGTGGTATTTCCTTTTTGAGGGTGTTCCAAGCCCCTGATCTGACAATTCTCCCAGTACTAATTCCATTAGTGACCATTCTAATCATTGTCGCATTGGCATATCTACCAATGACAATGTGCAGTGGTGTCAGATCTAGAATGACCTCCATTGCTGCTGTTGGACAGGTTCTCATGGCTCCTGTGTAGCTTTTGTGTTATAAGTGAAATACCACGAACCAATCAGATTTATATTTTTTTATTTTATTTTGTTTAAGATTCTTCCACGAAATTGAATTCGCAAATCCCCGTTTCGAATAGAGCACCTCAAAAAACATAGAATAGAAGATATCAAAATTATCCCAAAGCTTTCGCGCTAAGGATTTTTTGAGCATAATTTCAGTAAACTATAAGAGGATATAGTAGTGTTTATAATGTTTAGTCAGATATTCTTCCCTATGTGGTGTGGTAATTGCTAATATTTTAATGTGAAATTTGATAATACCGATTAATTATCTGGTTATTTGTTACTATTTGTTTAGTTTAGATTACTGTTTTTAAATATTTTAGTTGCTGTCGTGGCGCCCCACGCATGTGGCGCCCCGGGCGGCCGCCCGTGTCGCCCAGCCCTGTATACAGGGTCCGGCAATAGTGCGTCGGGCATCTGTAGCTCCTAAAATAAAAAAAACTTAGCAATTTTGTTTAAGTGCAAACCTAAAGTATGTATTAGGATATATTTCAGGAAAATAATTTAACCACTACAGGGTGACTCAAAAAGTGTGAGTGGATCAGGATGTTTTTTTTTAAATAGAACACCCTGTATATTACATTTTTGGCTTCCTCTCTGATTACTTTACATAATCTAAAGTGATTTTTAAATTGATTTTTATAGTTTTAGAGATATTAATAAATAAATAAAAATATATTTTTTCAGCCTTTTTTAAAATAAATATTAAAAATACAAGAACTGTCCTGAAATCAGAACTATATTAGGTGTTTGCTTAAGATGGTCTATTTTACTTTTCTAAAAATATCGTAATCTTAAATAATACAGGGTGTTCAAAATTCTACGCCAACCTTTCTAAAATATAAAATAATTTTTCTTCGTTATTTTAAATGGAACACCCTGTATATTATTCTTTTAATACATGGAGAATTAAAAAATGAATATTTTTTGTATTTAGAGTATTTCAAAATTTTTAACGACTTCGTAGATACTCGCGGTATTATTTATTTCATAATATGAAATAATACCAATGCCATATTATGGCCCGTTCAACGGTAAAATACGAGAGAAAAATCATTGGGTGGCTTTGATAAAAGTTTACTATGGAAAATGCCATATGAAATATAAAACCGCGAATATCTGCCAAACCGTTAAAAATTTTGAAATACTCAAATATAAAAAAATGTTCATTTTTTAATTCTCCATTTACTACAAAATAATATACAGGGTGTTCCATTTAAAAAAACGAGGAAAATACTGCCGAACTCTGTATTGGAAAACGGCGTAGAGGACAACGTGTGATTTTGGTGAGACTATGTGATAGAAAGAGATGGGTGTTTCGGGGATAACCTTAATCAAGGTTTGAAAAAACAAGCTAATAACTTTATAGAGAAATGCCAAAATAATAAAAAATATATATGACTAACCTCCTCTAATTTATAACAAGCAATCACCTCTCCAATTTTTCGTATTTGATTTATAATCTGTATAAGCAAATTCGTGCTATTCCGTGATAATTTCCCAATAAAATATTGAACTTACCAACTTTAGCAAATTTATAATAATTTTTGTTAATTGAATTTGGTAATTTAATCCATTCAACAATTGGTCCATCGTAGGGGAATTTTCGTATTTTCTTATTGGAGTTGCTAAAAAGTATGATTCATAAAAATATAATTCATAACTTCCAAAAAGCTCCTTATAAAGTTTTCTTTTGTGTTAACTTCCAATTTTATTTTATAGAGCACATTTCAAAAATGCATTTTTAAATACGCAAAACTACAATATGATCGAAAAAAAACGGCATCAGCGATGACTATGAAATGAAGGTCGCTGTCATTTATTACGTAAAATTATATAAGGAATGTTATCGATTTTTAATTTTTAACTCTATGTTATCGATCGTCATTTCCAAGCCAACTGGACGCCTAAATTAACCAACTGGACGCCGTTTTTTTGTCGAATATAATATCAACTTAGAGAGAATTGATATTTATTATGAAATTTTTCTCATGTTAAAAGATCGTTATTAATGTGAATAATCCATAGAGTTAAAAATAAGAAAATATTATTAAAATGTGTGCTCCTACTGCCTATTCTCGAATTTTAAAAGGTGACATAATCTCAAGTACCTACTAGAGATGGGCAAAAGTAACCGGTTTTTTGAATAACCGGTATTTTCCTCTAAAATAACCGGTTATTTAAAGGTAGTTTTTTTTTCACCAATTAACCTAATAACCTTGCATTACGTTCAATAACCTATAGCCGGTTATTTTTGAAAAAATCGTACTTGTTTAAAACAACTAACAATTAAATATTAGCTGTTTGAATCGTATATTTCGAAGAAGCGAACGGCACGGATCTTCCCGATATTACGACGATAACGGGAGATCCCGCTCCCGCTCCCAAAAGGAAAATATATGACATCAAATGTCAAAGTTAAATCAGGCATCAGGCGAACCCTGATGATAATAATCAAAACAACGGCCGAATGGCCCTGACAGATCAGGGCCATAAAGCAAAGTACTAATGCCATAGACTACTACTAGCCACCAGCTAGCCAAGTGATACAAACCTAACTTCAAATAGATTCTCTAAATTCTATATTTAAATTTTAACCGACTTTAACGGATTTTCAACGGTTCTTCAAAAGTTTTCCATGGTTTCGCTCAGTTTCACCCAAGTTTCACCGTAAATATATTTTATTTGTAGTTTGAAGTCTCTCTTGAAGCTTAGATTAAGAATACAAAAAAAGTTCAACATAGAAGTTCAAGTAATGAATGAAGATAATCTTTCATTATTTATTCATTCAGTCTCTTTATTTTTCTTTTGGTCTATTTTTCTTGTGGTCTATTTTTCTCCGTATTTAATTAAAATAACTTGGTTGTAGATTGTAGAACTTGTGCGTTGTGTGGTTTATTTGAACGTTAAGTAATTACTAGTTTTAATATCATATTCATGTCTACTCAAAAAAGTGAGGTTAGCATTTTTATTTAAATTCACTTTGTACATATACATACTTACATTGCTACAATCTCTATTTAATCATGCGATTTAACTAAGTTTATTATCTAAATTTGAAGTGGACCTATGGAGTGTAGAGGTAAGTAAACCTATAGGAAAACTAAATGTTTAGTTTTGCTAGGTTAGGTTATTTGAATAACCGGTTAATTTGTGTCGGTTAATTTTGTCAAGTTATTATTTTTTAAAGATAATTCCGGTTAACCTATAACCGGTTTTTTACCAATAACCGCCCATCTCTAGTACCTACCTACAAAATATCATATACACTTTCTATCAGCACAATGGCTCATCCTGTATATTTTCAACATAATATAAATATAGTATAATCGAATAAAAAACGGCGTCAAAGACGGCTGGGGAACGACATCGATAATAATTTTGGCTAGATCAATCTCTATAGGCGTAATTTACTAAAAATTGGCATAAATCTTGCCAAAATTATATAACACTAATTATTATAGATAAATTAAAAAAGGACAGAACGTTTCCATATACACAAATCTATTCTAAAAATAATTTTTTTATACAATATTATTTTTATTTTTTCTACAAAATATTTTTTTAGAGAAATATAAAAGTAAATTACAACCTTCTTAAGGCCAATTGGTACCATAAAAAATAAAGAAAAGCATGGGCCAAGTAATGACATCTAGAGATTGACCTCGCCAAAATTATCGTCGATTTAGATCGTACCACGAACCATCCTGTATTTTTTTTGTTTTCAACATAATATATTACCTTTAAAATTATAATACTGGCAATAATAAAAAAAACGAACAATTTTATAAAAACATAACATTACCTGACTGGAGTAAAATCCCGTTTCAACCAATTACGATAGAATATATCTTCGACCATCCGAGTCGTGGATATCTATGGAAATTAATTTAAATATATGGACATTTAGACGGGAAAGAAAAACTTACATCTGCTCGTTTTTCCATAATGAAAAGTTAAAAAATAACAGAGATCGCAGATGGTGTATCGCCGAAAAACTCTCACAAAACACTGATATAAAGAAACACAAGCCGTCTATATAGTTTTAAGCGCATCCGAAAAAGAAAAATACGCCTGTATATTTTGGTAATTTTTCTGATAAAAAAATGTTTATTTTAGCTGACGAATTAAAATCGGCTTTGTTTGAAATACGGTTCGAAGAAGAAAATCGAAAGATAAAAATGTAGGGGACGGTAGAGTAGAAGGAGACGATTTTTCTATCATGTTTAATTTTTAATCTGATCTATTTATTGTTTTATTTTTATTGCATATCATCATCATCATTTTCAGCTTATTCAAGCATTTTCAATTATGGTGTAGCCTCTTACCCACTCCTTTTTTAGTTGGGCCCATTGCTGTCTATTGTTGGTTATGCGGGCCAAAGTTATTCCTTCTAATTTCCTAATATCATGGTCCCATCTCATGTTCGGTCTTCTAGGTCACATAATTTCTCGTGATATTAATTCTCATGCTGGCTTCAATAATCACAATTTTATACGGTTTAGAAAGTACAAATTATACATTGTTATGAAAACCAAATTTTCTTTGTCTTCATATTGTCATAATCTTGTCATAATCATATATCACAATCTTATTTCCATTGTGTAACGACTAGGGAATGCAATCCCGCAAATGCGGGATCCCTCTGAGATTCCGCGGGATTAAAGTTGCGGGATTTACCGTGCGGGATCCGCGGGATCGACCCATTACTACTGGGTAACCGAATCGATCTCGATCAGGGTCAAACCGTTTCGTTCCGGGCCGATGCGTTGACGGTCTGAACCCGGGGGATTCCCCTTACGGCTTGGCCATTAAAAATAGGTGAAACAAACAGGTTACTTGTTAGATTTCTTTCTGGCGTATGTGCGTAAGTGAAGAAAAGCGTTTAACTAGTACTTATGGACAATTTCGTCAAATAAACTGCCGGACATATGTAATTATCGGGACAAGCAAAATTTTAGGGTAAATTTAAAGTTGAGTAAGTATCTCTTGAACTAAAAAAGATTTTGGGATGCGGTTTGGACCAGGTTTTAGATGCATCTATTGTGATTAAGATGCTATATGGTTTTCGAAAATATATTTAGCGAATTCTCGTATACAGGGTGTTTTATAAGAATGTGAAAATTTGGTAAAGAATCTTTTTTACAACAAATTTACAATTTTTAAAAAATCGAAATTTTTACCAAGTACGACTAATCTGTATTGAAATTAGAAAAAACAATTTGATAAGTTTTTTATTATTTTTAAGGAAAATACGACTTTTTTTTAAAAAATATGCATTTTTAGTCATACGTATGGTCCTAAATGGTACAAAAAGCTTTGTACATTCTGCATATGCCAAAAAATTATTGATATAGAGTGTATCTAAAAGCAGATAACTAACAGAAGTTAAAAACAACTTCAACATCAGAATAATATTTTTATTTGTAAAATAAGTAGATAAATTATAATAAAATTTATTTAATATTAAATATATTTTTTGAACACCCTGTATTACCAAATTTCTGTACAGCTAGTTTAAGATACACGCTATATCAATAAATTGTGGGCCTATGTAAAATGTACAGATAGAGTAAAGTCCATTATCCCATTTGTTTCGAGGTTTACAAAGAAAATTTAAATATAAAAGTTGTAGGGAAGGTTAAGATACACATTTTAAAATTATTATAGAGTATATAAGTGCTTTAGAAAAGTGTGGCGGATATAACATATGTTTTTTAAAAGCAACACCCTATTTTTTATTTTATTTTTAGATTCTGCGTAAAATTCCATAACTTTTTTATATATAATGTTATATACGTAAAATTAATAGTTTTTGTAATATTTCAATTTGTTTAAACAAATGTTAAATTGCAGTGTGGTAAAAAACTACCAGTGGTGTCATTGTTTCTGAAGTTGGAGTACTAAAATTTGGTAGGAGAGTTTTATAGAGATGAAAAAAAAATATATATAAAGATATTTTAATTAAATGATACAGGGTGTTCAATTTATATTTATGAATTTCAACTACTTATAATTAAAAAATCTCAAATTTTTTAAAGAGGGACACCCTATATATTATCATTTTTTCTGATAGATTTTACAATACTCTTCAACTTTTATAAAGTATTTTTTCTATTTTTACCCATATTTTTAATACAATTACCCTATAAAAGCATAGTTGCCATGACAAAATAAACTATTTATTATTTATCTTTAATAAGTAGCTGAATAATTAGTTACAATTACTGGTATTAGTTATAAATTAATTAAGTTTACTCAAATAAACTAAAATCGCAGTCGTGAATTTCTTGGTGTATTTCCATATTATGAAAGAGGACACTTGGATTTTCCGTCGCGCGTCGGGGCGAATAGCCACAGTTTAAGGTAATACTAGATTATTTAATTGTTGAAGACTACTAATATAGAATTTTTTTTCGACATACAGTAAAGTTTTTTTCTCGTAGTAATTCTGGTTTATAATTCATTTGGTAAAGCCAATATTACTACTGCCGTGATACCGTCCCATACACACTGAAGATATTTTCTAGATAATCTACATCTATTCTTATACTACTTAGCAAAGCACTATATAATATATAGTACTCAACCAAAAAATATGTTTTTCTTGGCTTGTTCGTGTATATCAATCACATTGACTAATTCATTTCAGGAAAATCTGTAACTATTATCTCTACAATTTATACTTATTACAACACATTAAACTAAAATTCAAATTTCGTTCTTAACTTGCTTAACAGACAAAAAATTTTGATAATACTTTTGTCATGGTAACTATGATGTTATAGCGTAATTGTATTAAAAATATGGGTAAAAATAGAAAAAAAAATGGAATAAATCGCAAACTATTAAAAATAGGTATATGACATACTTAACAAAAGTTGAAGAGTTTTGTAAAATTTATCAGAAAAAATGATAATATATAGGGTGTACCATTTAAAAAATTTGAAATTTCTTAATTTTAAGTAGTTAAAATTCATAAATATATTTTGAACACCCTGTATCATTGAACTAAAATATCTTTATATATATCTTTTTTTTCATCTCTGTAAAACTCTCCTATCAAATTTTGGTACTCCAACTTCAGAAACAATGGAACCACTGACAATTTTTTACCACAATGCAATTTAACATTTATTTAAACAAATTTAAATATTACAGAAACTATTAATTTTAGGTATATAACATTACATACAAAAAAGCTATGGAAGTTTACGCAGAATCTAAAAATAAAATAATAAATAGGGAATTCCATTTAAAAAAAACATATGTTATATTTGTCACACTTTTTTGAAGCACCCTGTATACTCTATAATAATTTTAAAATGTGTATCCTAACCGTCCCTATAACTTTTATATTTAATATTTTTTGTAAACCTCGAAACAAATGAGATAATGGACTTTACTCTATCATTGACTCACCCTGTACAATGTCTTTTGTACCATTTAGGACCAAATGTATGACTATTGTTTACAGTCCCGCAATTTTGCGGATCCGCGGGATTGACTGCTTTAATCCCGCGGGTTTGCGGGATTGAGATTTTGGTGCGGGATTGCATTCCCTAGTAACGACGCTTCTTTTTTGCGTTTTTTATTTTAAAAATTGTATTAATTGTTGTATTGTCCAAGCCAAGGATGCAAGTGTGGTCAGTAAGTAATTACTTTTAAGTTTGTGCAATTATATTTTAATTTTTTCGTTGGATTTTCTAAATACTCGTAAAAATGACTTGAAAGTGTTTGGTGTGTGGAAGTCCTAATATAAAGGTCCCCGAATTATCTTTTCATATAGGCAAGTAAAGTATTTAGTTGTTCTTTTATTTATATTAAACCACATGCACACTTTCTGGTTAAATTTTCTAAGAATATTGATATTCGGAGGAAGTAGCTAAATGTATTTTTTATATAATTTAGTTTTTGTGACAGTAAACATTTAACTTATTGTTCAAATATATTATGCATTTACAAATTAAATTTTTAAAATTCATGTTCAAATTTGGCGCTTGGGCGATAGGTCCTCGACAAGGATAGATAGAGTAAAACCGCGTGTGGAACAAAAAAACTAGATAAATGGAAGTCGTTGATATGTTTGAGACTGTTTCCATACATTTTTTATTTACTTATCCACGTAAGTATAATGTATGATTTTTGTGCATTTTTTTGTGCATTTCTGTTTCATAGTAACATAACAAGTAAAATATATAGAAATTTCATGAAAAGGGTAATTTTATTATTTTTATAGGAAAAATTGAAAACACATGAATAAAATATATCGAAATATAAAATAACAATGTGTATTTTTCGGTTTGGAATCAATTTCGAACCAGATAAATTTTTAAAATATACGAGTTTAATTATTAAAATTTGGCCAATTGAAAGATTGGAAATAATATCCGTAGGGTGAGTTTATTTAAAAATGTATTTCGATATAAAATACACAAAATATGCCGTGCAATGTATATATGATTGCGTAGCAGAGTAAACAAAGCCTTTTAATCGTCCTAAAATTGATATTACAACCTATTTCCTATTTTAAAATTGTATTTTTCTATAAAATTTATAAAAAAACAAAATTATAAACGTTAAAAAATTCTAGAAATAAAATTATTTTTAAATTTTAATACAAATTTGATATTATACAAGGTGAGTTTTCTACGATGTTCTCTATGGGCATCTCGGAAACTACTGGAGATAGAGAGTCGGTTAAATAGGGAAAGCTAACCTAACCTAACCTTACCTAACCTAACCTTACTAGATATTTCGAATAAAAAACAAATCTCGGCTATGTTTAAAATTGTCCCTAATTCCATTATAATCAATTTTAGACAAAAAGTTTTCAGATAAAAGTTGTAGGTAATCACATCCTTAATGAGATTGTGTCCTCCGTTTTTTTCTAAAGCCTGTAATTTTTCACATATGACACAAATATATGTTTTTTTAAACCATAGATTTTTTTGGATACCATAGTTTGCCTTCATAAAAAGTGCAATTTTTAAGTTTTTTTAGCGAAATAAGCTATAATATGTTTTGTTCGAAAAATTACTGAGTTATAGCCAATTCTTGTTCATTTAAACAATTTCATAACTGGTAAGTCCGTTTTGCAAAATTATCATTTATTGAGTTTAAATTAATCGCTTTTTGTTTTTAAGACGAATTATGTTAGGAGATAAGTCTAATTAGTCATGGAAAAAACAAGTTCAATCGTCGTTCCTCTCAGAAATGTGAACTGTCACATCCAAACTTTCTAAATTAAAAAAACAAAACAAAAATTGTAAATATGAATTTTCCAAATGAAGAAAAGCATGTAGGATTATTGGTTCAACTTTTCTTGGCCATACATTTTCGAGGATACGTTGACCGGTGAACGTTACTTACGTTTACGGTTATTAGTATTAGGGTATTAGTGAACGTTACTTACGAGAGAACG